TTCTTCCTTTTACGTCTCGGTGTTAGAACAGGCTGTAGTAAATCATGCAAAGAAGACCGGACCAGTTTTTAAGTACATGTACTGCACTGCACATGGAAAACGTTTGCCTCTTACATTTTCTTTAGCTGTATGCCATAATAATTAATTAAACAAAAAAATGCTTTAAATATATCACTGCCTATTCAATTACTAAAAATATTATAATTAATATTCCACTTATCAATAATATTCTGGTTTAATCTGATGCACCTGACATGATTTAGACATATCAATAAAAGTTACACATTACAGATTTTAAATACCATATTCTAAATGTTGGCAAAATGTTCTGCCAGCAAGTTGAAAGGATACTTTCTCGTTCCTGTGCTATCATCAGGTTCTGCTGCTCTAGCACCTGGATCTTGCGTTCAAAGTTTCCCTGTTCATCTTTCAGACGCTGCATAGACTCCTCTTTCTCCTCGCTTACTCTGTAAACCATTAAAGAGCATTGTTAAAGTAAATGAAAGGAAAAATAGTCTGCAGGTAATCTGAGTTATTAAATACTGATATTTTGATGTACAAAGTAGCATTATGTGTAATTGTTCCATTTATAGAAGCTTATTACTAGAAATACTTTAAAGAGGCTCTATATGATTTTTTTTTTCACCTACCTGGCTAGCTCTTCAATGAGGTGTGCAATTCTCTTTTTGTCTTCAAAACAAAGATCCTTCAGAGATATGTCGTTCTTTGCTTTGCTGCTCACCTGGATAATAACAGTTAATAGGTATGCAGTTATTAACAGACCGCAGAGTGAATATCTGCCAGCCCCGACATACTGAACTCATTTACCTTTGAAGAAGATAGAAAAAACAGGGCTTAGATCAAACATTGATTTACCTGTGGCAAAGGCAGAAAAGTATCACTGGGTTGAGAGAGGTTTTGCATGGCAGGCACAGGATCTCTTTCAGGCACTGATGCTTCCTTTGTTGTATCACTTCCAGGGTAATCACTTTGAAAGTGGCCTTGTTGTCTCTGTGTTGCTTTTTGTGAAGCTTGTTTTTTGCCATTAGACACATGCTTCATTTCCATCTTGGTGCCTCTTTTAGCAGATGCAAATATGCCATTTGTTCCTAGACATAAAGGGGGCGCACTCTGTGGTCCTCCATCAACGCCTAAGACAGTGAACAGACAGAAACAATAATCAAAATTGCTGCTTGTTAAAAAAATTCCAGATGCTCCAGAAATTGGCCAAAGGTCATGGGACTCACCAGGGACGAATGCTAAAGGCTTCTCCCATTCTGACACTAGCAAAGAGAAAGATTTAATATTGGTTAATTTTCCTATCACAGATAACTAGTTTTGGACAACAACAACAATCGGATTATTTTCTGGCATCAATAAAATACATTTAAACTAGTATTAATAAAATCGATAAATCTCACTTTTTGTTGGTAACAATTTTGCTCTTTTGATTCTCGATTTTTTTTTTTTTTTTTTACCAATTCTCTCTTTGTTCCTCCATAGCTAAGAGCAGGACTGGACAATTAATTGAATCTGTCATTTAATTACTTTTTTTTAATCTGAATTATTTTCCCACCAATGCACTCCTAAGATATCTATTTTTGTTCTTAGATGTCTACTTATAACTGATAAAATATTTCTCTGTGTAATACCACTAGCTACAAACATTTAGTGTTATATTTTCATTGTTTGCTATGAAAGGTGATGATTTTTCCTGCATGTTTCACAGTTGTTGCCCTTTAAATCAAGGTTTATCTCTCGGAAGGGATAATTAAAATAAAAGCTAACTTTTTAAAAGCAATATGTGTCATTGTCGTTTTTATTTTGAAACTCAAGTGAGAAAAAAGTATTAATTAGATTTTTTAGGGGGAAAAAAAATCAGCGATTAGATTTTAAGCCATATCACATAGCCCTCATTTTTACACTTCTGATTAGTTCTTTAAAGGCTTCATAGCGTTACTGCCTAAAACAACAGCCCTAAAATAGGATTCACGGATCAAAGTGCTGTACATTGGCCAAGAAATTAAACACATAATGAAACATACATTTTAAGTAATTCTTGATAAATGGCAAAGATAAGCCCACAGGTGATCACACAGCAAGTATGGTTCAGCCATTAGAATATGACCAGTTGCGTAATCATGTGTTGATCTCTTTTTACTGCTAAAAAATCCCTGAACTGTCAAGGCATGGATTCCATCAGAGCCCTGATAGTGTGCTTTGCTATCTGGCACTAAGAACACCCACCGAGTCCTGGAGTTTGTGGTCCATGGATTGGACCTATTTGTCCTGCACATCCCACAAAGGCTTGATTGAATATTTCAAACCCCTACAGTATCTAGGTAAACTTGTTCTGCTCCTTAAACTATTCCTGAATCCTCTTTGGTTTGTAGTGGAGCAAGTTACCCATCTGAAATAGACTACAGTTTTCAGAGAGAGCTGTTTCTTTAAAAGGGTTAACAGAGTCCGCTTCAAGGCTCAGATAGGTGCCAAAGTAAGACCCAAAGTTTCACCCAATATTGTCCAAAGCACCTCGAGCTTACCCTCTTCCTGAAGTGCATCTTGATGTCATGTGAGGTCCATGTAGGCAAAGCAGATTCCTAACCATTTATGTGGTTTCTAAAAATGTTTCCTAAGATTAGACCCATCTTCTGCCTCTGCTTTGTTGTTCAGTAGAAAGGGGCCAGCATGAACATCCAACCTAATGCCTTTCAGAATAACCATTAACTTCACAAGCAAATCTAGCTAGAATAGATAATGTGTTGGTTTAATCCTGATAGGCCGGGCTTTTTCTCCTACTAAGCATCAATCACCTTTTTTTACATCTTCACTACTGTTCCTTTCTTTGACCACTGCAAACTAGGTACACCCCACAAGACCTGCATTTTAGGAGATTTTCTGCAAGCTCATTCTTCACAGAATTTGGGGGCAGGCTCTTTATTAGCTCCCTGATTTATCACATCCACCAGCCGGCAGAGATGGGAAGTAACGAAGTACAAATACTT